AGGCGCGGCACACACAAGGGCAGTGTCAGTGATGTCGCGTTGACCGCATTTCGTTTCGTCACGTCTGATGACGAGGCTTATGGTTTCGGTTGTGAGGGCGCCCAGAGAGCAAAGTCACTTCTCTCACTGGCTCACATATCTAACCGTTCCCGCCCAGAATGACATGCATGGTATGAGTGTACACCTCCGAGAGCACTACAAGGAATTTTATCGGCAAAACGTGTGCGCACTCCCGTGGAGGATGCACACAAGCAGGCATGAACACATGCACACACACGTTGACAGTTTTGCTGAAGGAGATTTTAGATTAGAGTGTCATGACCTCAGAGCACTGGTAATCCGCAGGTTTGTACGCTCAGAGGAAATGGCATACGGAAAAGTTCAATCGCGGTGATGAGCAAATACTTTTCTGCGTTGCGTAATGTGCACAGAAGAGTTTAAAATGGACGTTGCACAGCGTAGCGCATCTTCTCGTAAAACCTTAACCACTGCCTATCCTGCAGTCTGCTGGGAACGCGTCACGACAATGTGGTTATTCAATAGAGGGTGGAAGTAGGCAGTAGCGGAGTGTAAGGTGGTGCGCCTTGCTCCTAGCTCCAAGGAATTCATTCTAGACCTGCGTACGTCTTAGACGACGGGGTCAAGTGCTTGCTCTAGAAATTGACTTTTCCAAAATGACTACAAGAGACTGTCACTTGGTCAGTCCGTACTCTAAGTAACGAAGCTTTGCCTGAAGCCAAAAAGTTTCCTCTAGCGTTATCACGTTCTCCAAAATTTTCAAAATCTCATTATACGTTACGCCTGAAGTAACTAACTTGCACTGAGGTAGAAGGATTGTTAAATAGAAAGAGACTGACTGAAATGGACACTTCTGACTCATTTTTCGTCTTTTGGATTTACCCGAAGCTTCAGCGGACCGCCTCTGATACCTGAGCCCTTTAGTTATTTGGCGCTGCGAAAACCACTTCATCAATAAGCAGTGGCTGGTTTTTGGCGTATTCAGCACGTTAACCGTGGGAAAAGGTCGTTGGACAAACTCTCTTCCAATTTGGAAAACGGTTAAGATCTTCTTTGTGGGTTATTTGAATGTGCTGGTGATCTTCTACCTACCAGGTCCGCGGTACATGTGACCTGTTTTGTTGTGCACTTCTGACCAATCAAGGAAATGGACGAGAACAGTAAAAAAGCCCCTAAGACGTGTTCACTAAAGTGGATCTGGTAGAAATGCGTGTCTTCACCACGTGAAACGGAAAAACAAATAACGCATACACTTTTTACTCTAATTAGGAGGCCACGTGGGTCGTCGCTTTATTTCTTTAATATTGTCTTCTCCTTTTATTTGTTTCGGCAGCCTAACGCGCTAATTCACCCGTAATTGTTTAAAGGTGAGCCTTTTTCCGGGGACAAAAAGTTTTTTGTAAAAAAATACTTGCGCCTGCAGCTTAAAAGTTGCCTAACGCTTTAAAAAATTCATCGCTGGTTTAAAGATGAAGTCAGAAGATTTAATTCCGCACTGAAGGAAACACTGCAGCTTAACGCTTACGTTTGCCGTCATTCAAGAAGGGATTTGGGTTGAGCACAGGAATATGGATTCTCCGTATGACAGGTAGCCTTGCGCTAAATTTCTGATGACTTAGAGTTAGTCCTAGGGTTAGAATTAGGGTCATAGTTAAGACACGAGAAAAGATACCCCCTAAGATTTATCGCAACGCCACCTGTAGTGGGGAGAAGTTCATATTCCAGTGTCCCCCTTTCAGCAGATGTTTTGGTGGAGCTTTCGAAATTGGACAAGCAACTAGAGTAAGAATTTAAAAACCAGCTCAACTTCTAGTCTCTCGGCCTGTTTACAATGTAACACCCATCTAAAGCTCTGTCCATATGACATTTCGACCGTTGTGCTCGACGATGTCCGCTGGTGACTTACGCGTGAATTAGGCTACAGTGAGCGCGGACTTGCACAGCATCTGCCGCGCTCTCTCCTCCTCCTCCTCCTCCTCCTCCTCCCAACCCTGGCCCGGTATCAAGACAGTGTCAAGAAGACTGGAGGCGGGAGAGGGCTCAGGTGGCTGC